TGTCAGATCGCAAATTTAAATTCAAGTTCATAATATTTGTTCTAGTTTGTTTCATTTTCTTTCTTTGTGCAGTAGGTCTTCTGAAGAAGTGCTTTGCCACTTCTGAAAAGTTTTGTAGACTTTTGAGCACTTCAAGTAATGTTTAAACATTGTATTCAATGAACGTTGTATTCAAGAGCCACTGTTTGGTTAAATACAAATGGGTAGTAATGGGAAGAAGTCACAAGGATGTCACTAAGTATGTTGGTGAGATGTAAGTTGTTGAACATCTTACAGATCTTTGACTTTTTGAAAGATTTGTACAAAATTGCTTAACCTAACCACAACTTCCAGACACAACTCTTTGAGGAAACTTAGTTGCTTTCATGAAGATACAATACCTTGCTTTTGAAGTAAGGATAGTGATCCATGATCCACTGGTAAATATCACATAGCAGGAGCTTCTTTTCATCTGAATCCAGGATGGCCATGGAAATGAGGGCAATATAGGACTGCGTTGGCTTCTCATCCATTCCTTCACTCTTCAGATTTGTCTTCTCGTGTTCCTCTTCACATCCGTTTTCTTCATTTTCCTGGTCCTCTGATTGTTCGCTATTCTTTTCTGCGAGAGTTTCATTAACTGTGCTTTGAAGATCTTCAGATGGAGGGCCATTGTCCTCTGGCTCTGCCCTCTCATCGTTGCGTCCTTTGTTGTACAAAAGATAGTCAATAGTGAACTGAAGTCCCAGTTGTTCTCGATTGCTGCGGCATGCGTTGTCCTCCATTTCTGTATTGTTAGATCTTGGAATCTGTGGCTTAGTGGTCAAAAATCCAGTTTTCGGATCCCACTTTATAACATGTTGTCCTGGTTCGACTTTCTTTGTCTTTCCTTGTGTGTTCCGTCTTTTCAAGAAGTGCTGGTAAAGATTAGTCCAACAAATGATTAATTTGGTAGCAGATGTGACGTCAGTCTCTGGGGCATGCGTGAATCGAGTAAACAGGTAAATGCGTTCGTTAAGTTGTGTGTTTGTTCGTTTAGCCACCTGTTTGGAAAAACAACACCACCACCAGTTGCAAATCTTTCAAGAAAGCCTCCTTCTAGAAAGACTTCTCTTGCAATAACCAGAGCGTTAACGCCACTTAATTTAAATGCTCCGCATATTTAACCACGCAATTAGAAGAAAAGTGGGGTACAAGAGAGTTAGAGGGAGGGGGTCTAATTGAGGGGGATTATTTTTATTAAACCAAGCAAATCTTTGTAATTACAAGAGATTACACAGATTCATGTATTTGATGAATGTAAATTGTCTTGGGTGGTGGCTGCAGTGATACAGCATGACCTCTGGGTGTGCTTATCCTGTTTGGGTCAAGTCTTTGGGACTAACACAAAAGCATTGTGCATTTTAGTTTACTGTAACTTTAAAATATACAAATATTTTTAACAATCAGATTTCATGCACTAATGTCAAGATGAAAATGACAAATTATAACGTGGTATCTATTTATAATAAACAAACATTTTATTGTGTTCAATCTTTTAAGTTCAAGGTTTAGATACTGTGCGTTACAGCAAGAACATTTGATACTACCACTTTATTTAATTCCAAACAATAAAGTTGTGTTTTTAGAGAGCATTTAAAAAAAAAACATCAATAGGACATACGTCTCTTTTTTTGTATTTATTCATTTCATTTTTCTATGTATTATTAGCTTTTACTTTAGGTCTATTGTAAAATATAATGTAATTATAATTAAAAATTTAAAACAATAATTTCTGTTAATATGAAATTTGTTTTTACCATAAAATAAATAATGAAATATTATACAATATATTAATATATAAAATGTATATCAATTTCTAACATATATTAATAATAATAATTAATGGTGAATAATAATTAACTGATTAATAATAATACTTTTTTAATAAACTCAAAAATTAAAACAATTTTAAAATGGTTAAAAAAATTATTTAATATGAAATTTAGTTTAAAAATCAATTATAAAATATAATATATTAAAATATAAAAGTGTTTACTAAATAAATATAATAGAAATAAACATAAGTAAACATGTTTATGTTTATTAATATAAACATTTACATTTATATCAATACATGTAAATACTATGCTTAAAACACAATTCTTTTTTTCAGCTTTTATTATCATTCAACCAAGTTGCTCTTGCAGGCCCTGGTGCTAATTTTACAAATTATTTTGAGATTTAAGACTCACACAAGTACTCTCAGGACATTGCATAATAGTACAGCACATAACAGAAGTGAAATGGGATTATGAGGTATCTCATTATTGGTTTCAGTTTATATATAAGTAAAATACTTTCTGTATTTTCCCTTTTGCTCCAGTATTTAGTTTATTTGCTTTATTTTATTTATTGTTAAGTGTTGTACTGTAAACATTTGAACCAAGATTTTTATTTTGTATAACTTGGCAAATAAAATCTTTAATTGTAAAATATAATTTAGATACCACATGTGAACAAGCATGCTGTATTGGTTTCAGATTATCCAAATGAGTGCCCTTAAAGACTTTGTCAATTAGTTTATTATCGGTTTTACGAAGGTAGTGATTGGATTACATGTGAAACTGTGTTCCTGTTAAAGCCACTGTTAGTGTGCTTGTTTGTCTGTTGTTGACCTAACACTTAAGCTGCCAATAATATTACTGGGAAACAATGTAATGTTCTCACTCAAAAGGTAGGAGAGTTTGGACACGTGGGCTGCAGCATATCACTATGACTCACATGCATATTTGACTTAAAATAACTGCAAGAACACACACACACACACACACACTCCTCCCTAGTGCTATATGCAGTCCTGTAATGGGAATCAAGGGTTAATCCAACATTTTTTGTATAGTTATTTTTATAATACAAACAAAGAAAAGAAAAGAAAAGATTATAGTGCTACACACAATGACTGGTCTTTTCTCCAGAAACATGTATAGTATGCTTTTAATGTGTGATTTGTATGTGCCATTAACACAGTTCCAACCCACAAAGACAATGCTGTTGAATGTTAATGCAAGGTTATTCTAGAAAAATTCAATTTTTAAATAGAAATAGAAATATTTTATATTCATCATACTTGTATATACTGTTTTATGTTGTTTGTTTTCAGATTCGAATTTTTGCTTTGGTAAATTGATGTATCATTTATTTTACTTTAAATATATTTACATATTTTCCATTTTGAACACTTGTTATTTCTCTTCATTGCTTTTTATGTCTAATTAGAAAGTAAGCACAATGCTTTCTTTTCAGTTGCTCTTTTTTCATTTTAAGTGCATTTACAATTCATTAATGCTGTCTGACATTTAATAAAGAGCTATATAAAAATAAGTTGAACATTTCTATTCACATGCAACCATTCAACAGAAGAGTTATTATAAACTATTTATTATTATAAACTATTAAAATGGCAATTAATAGTTTTAAAAATGTTTTAATGAAAAATACATAATTACGTTTTGCCACCTGCCTGAATACAAAAAGCAACAGTGCTGTGTAGCTTTAACAGATCTTCCCCTAAAAAACACTCTCAAATTCTTCCCACAAGGAGTGAGTTAACATGGATTTTATGGAAGAACAGGTGGAATAGAATCACTGTCAGCTTTATGGATCAATGTCTTAAATAACCCTGGGGTGACTTTTGCTTGAGTCAAACCTAATGTTGTTACTTCATCTGTATTGCTAGCTTGTGATTGAGTAAATTGTCATCCTAAATCTGTACATTTCATTTGTTGTTTTTATTTTTTATTTGACTTCTTGAAACTTTAAAACCACATTTAAAGACAACTTTTGTGAAGACGCTCAGAGGCAAACCATTGTTAGACAGCAGCGCCATCTTCTGCCAAAACTGAACATGTGGTTTCCTCAAAGAAAGAGTTCCACCAATAATTAAAATTCGGTCATCTTTTAATGAGCTTATGTTGTTTAAAAACCCAACTTTCTTTCTTCAGTGAAACACACACACAAAAAAGAAATGTAGACGTACTCAGTCACCATTCACTTTCATAGTAGCCTATGTTTTCTATACAATGAATGTGAAAGGAATGAGGATGTAATTCTGCCTAACATCTCCATTTGTGTTCCACGGAAGAAAGAAAGCCATACGGGTTTGAAGCAACATGAGGGTGAACAAGTAGGGCTGAACCTGCTTTCCCTAAAAAAATAGTATGAGATTACAGTATGACTTGTGCATACAGGTTCATCATGATAACAATGCTATTACATTTGTTTTAATATATGTATACTATATTTAGCTTTGGTTTATTAACGTGTGTAAGGAACAATGTACCTGTTTATTTCCTTGTTCTGCCTTGTTTTTACCTCAGTTATTGACCTCAAACAGTCTCTGCGTCCCCTCCCCCACCACATACAATAAAGAAAAACACGGGATGGAGTTTCCCGGGGATTGTGGATTCAGTCTCGTGTGGATTTTCCAGACCGGTTTACCCAACTGTCCTCAATGAACAAGTGTGTTCGTTGTAATATATTTAACAATACATAGTTAACGCCTGAGAATATACGTCGGAGATGTTTTAGTGTGCTTCTGTAGTAATTTTAGGGCTGAAAATACACAAAGCATTCAGACCTCAATATCGTGTTTTTTTACAACTCATGAAGTGGATTTTCCCGCGCGGAATGGATCTAGTGGAGCCATGCGCTCCTGTTCCACTTGTCGCGGGAAACCCACCTCTCGCATCACATCTGAATGCAAAACGCAATGTGCTTTCGCTCTCGCGCCAGACTATTAAAGTGGGCAAATCAGACTGTGAAGTTCAGGCGACGGTGGGTAGGTTTACAAGCACCAGAGGCCTATCAGAAAGGATAGACCTTGCTTCAAGTTCTCTTTTTTTGACCGCACTGTCCCTTTTAAAGCTCGCCGTCACGCCTCTTCGAAAACGACCCCGCCTACTTATGGAGAATCCGCCGTGCTGATTAGACAACGGCGACGGCCGTCGAACGCCTTCTCGGCTTCTCATTGGCCAGCCGCTGCCTTTCGCTCCAGGCTCTCGCGGGGCTGCTGTGCGAAGATGGCGGCCGAACTGGTAGAAGCGATGGTGAGTGGATGAGATTTTTAAAAATAGTGAAAGTAAAAGGAACCTGGCGAGTCAGACGCGGTGCTAATTAAAACAACTTGAGTTAAATTCCATACTGTTGTATTCTGTGCTCATTCAGGATAAGTGGCAGTCTGTAAAGTGCGTTGGCAATTTGTATATGTGTGTATGTGAATGGTTGGGTCTCAAAACTCAGTGAGCTGTCTATGTATTCAACATATTTGGCGCGTTCTAGTGTTAGACTCGAATTTTTGAACGTCCTGAATGTACATTTGGTGTCCAAAACGCAGTTTGGTTAGACAGCTCACCAGGCTTTGAGATCAATGCTAGCGTGTCTGTGTGCGCGCGCGCGGGGGCGCACTGCCTGTGGAAATGAATGATTATTCTGCACAATGCAAAATAACAAAACAGTCTCTGTCTTTTCAAATCACACGTGCATTTTCTCCATGTAGCTGTATAAATAAACACAACTCCACACTTTTCAGTGCTGTAGGTTAATGTTTAGGTATATAGTCACATGCACAATTGATGCATGTGAATTGCTTGAAAAGAAATCATTTTCATTTGTGCAATATCGTTTTACTACTGAACACCAGCATATAATCGCATCCATGCTGATATTCATTACTACAGCATGCTTATGAATGTGCTCTGAACCTCTTTGTTTGACCTGTTTTGCAGAACTGATTTCTGTGTAGTGTTTATATGGAGAGTGTCATTGGCCTGCATGGGTTCAGTCATGGTAAACTAGAGATTGAGGTCATTTAGAAGCTTGAGGATTGTTTTGGCATTGAATTTGGAAAGTCAAAGCAATATAAACAACTTTTTAAAAGTATTGAGAATTTTTAGTAATTTTTTAATGTTAATAGATGATTTTACTTTAAGCAAAACGATAACAATATCGTGCATATTCATTACCGTGATATATTGCATTACCGAATACCGGCACAAGTCTAGTACACATACTATAGAAAAGACGAATATTTGTTGCGGAAGTTACGTACGATAAACATTTTAATTTGAATTTATGGCTGTTAATGCGTCTATTTAGACTGGGACGAATAATCGCATACACCAGTGGGACAGATTTTTTTTTAAAGAGAGGTGTTCTAATTTGCAAAGACAACTGACCAACCAAAGTAGATTCCAACCAACCAATAAGACATAAAACTACAATTTTGTGGCGCTCATCATGGACCGAGTATTCTGCTGAGCAACAGTGAATATCGATTAAAGAATCCAGACTTGGCTCTCTTGTATTCTTGTATTTGGTGTTTATTGACTGACTTTTCTGTGACAAGCGGTTTAGAAACAAATTTGCGCAGCGCTGCTTTGTGTACCTGTTAACAGCTGTATGTGTGCTTTTCTATCACATGTGAAAACTGGACCGTATTTTAATGCCCAACATTCGAGCTGGTGTGAACAAGTCTTTGGTTCTCAATTTTGTTCTCTTTTCGGGAATCGAACCCACAACCCTTGGATTAATTACCCAGATATTGAATTCTCTAATTAATTTCCCCATTTCTCATTCTCTTGGGTTGTTTTGTCTCTTCAGAACATGGTGAAGAGTTTCCGGGTGTCTGATCTGCAGACGCTGCTGGCCTCAATGGGCCGCAGTAAAAGCGGATTGAAGCAGGACTTAGTGGGAAGAGCTCTTAGGCTTGTGCAGACCGAATACAGTCCGGAGCTGCTAAAGAACGTTCGACAGCTCTATGAGACGCGCTTCCCCAAAGCCTCGGCCTGGCTGGCAGCCCGGCGGCCTGAGTCCGTGCCTGTAAACTACCCTGCCCTTAACTCCTCGCCCAGAGGCACGGCCCAGGGCACCGACTACCTCAACGGCATCCCCAAACCGGCGCCGCCTCCTGCAGCAGAAGTCAAATTGGTGCCCCTGCCGTTCTACCACAACCTAGAAACGCTGCTGCCACCCACAGAACTAAGTGAGTCCCATTATCATGAATAAATAATAGCCCAATTATAATAGGTGTGTCTAGCCGATGAGGAGGAAATCCATTGAGCTAATTCTGTTTTTGCCACTCTTTGCAGTCGCTCAGAACAGCGAGAAGCTGCAAGAGAGTCAATGCGTTTTTGAATTAACACCAAGTCAAGTGGAACAGATCCGGAACTCTAGGTAAGAAATGTACAAGTCATCTTGTTAATTGGTGGATTTATTTAGCAGTCAATCGATGGCCAATAATAACAATGCTGATGTTCAGGAAATTAGGGTGCATTGTTAATGTAATTTAATGATAGATAATGAGCAGGCCTATGTGGATGATGAGTGTGCAGAACAGATATTCACAGACGCCCAACGTTCACGTTTCAACACGCCTTCACTTTTTTTTAATTTTTATTTTGGCTACACTTATTTATAATTAAACGTATCTTAACTATGAGGATTTAAAAATAGATATACAACTTATTTTTAGTAAGAATAAAAAATATATATTTTTATGGAAATATTTATATATTCTTTGCAAGAAAAAAAGCTATTTTTTCATTTGCAGTAACAACTTGAAATTATACAGCTGTAAAGTCATAAAATAATATTTATGCTAGAAAAGGTTCCAGTAAGAATGATTTTTTTAAGCACGATTAACTCCATTAGACACAATCTCAGTTTTTTCTCTAAAAATTGCTTTGTGTTATGTTTATATAATATTTAAACTATGTAATATTAATTTACAAATTAAAATATAGCCTACCATTATTATTTATTGGCAATTACTTTTGATTAATGTTGACAAAATATCCAAATATCAGTCAATGAGTACCTGGCTGTTTTTGTTTTTTTTACTGAAAATACAAAAGAATATAAAGCATCTTTAAATGTGTTTACTCACAATATTTTTTGTACCTGCTAATGCACAGTGAACTTCGCCCAGGAATGAAATCAGTTCAAGTGGTTCTCAGGTACGTCATTCAGCTAAATCATGTCTGTACATCACGTTTTGGCGTCAGAGATGCATTTATTGCATGCTAACATGTCCTGTTCTTCTCCTAGAATCTGCTACACAGACTCTATCGGTGTTCAGGAGGACCAATATCCTCCCAATATTGCTGTGAAAGTGAATCAGTCCTACTGTCATGTACCGGTAAGTGTTGTGAATTTGATTAGGCTGAAAGAACAGGGAGTGTGGTGGTTTCACCACTCAGGATGATCGTAAATCTAAACCGCTTTATATAAATAAACTTTTAAGCATTTTCTCAGCATCACATAAGCAATACACCAGTGTTATTTTAAAATTTAGAATTAACTTTCTGAATGCGTCTGTTGTGGGTTAAATGGTTTTCTTAGAATGTTGTATGTCTTGTTGCTGTAAATTATGAATTTGATTATTTATATTACTACTTTTTGTTCAGGGTTACTATCCCTCCAATAAACCGGGTGTTGAGCCACGTCGACCCTGTCGACCTGTCAATATCACGCCATGGTTACACCTCTCCACAGTCACTAACAGAGTCACCATCACATGGGGCAACTTTGGAAAGGTACAGAGACTTCATACAAAGAGCTATCGGTATTTATGAATGAACCTGTTAGATGAAGTTGAGTGTGTTCTTGCTGACCGCTGTGTTTTGGATGCAGCGGTACTCGGTGGCAGTGTACCTAGTGAGGGTGTTCACATCTGGAGAGCTCTTCAACCAGCTGAAGCATTGCTCAGTTGAGAGTCCCGATCGTTGTCGCGAACGCAGTAAGTTTCTCACCTTGACCAAACACACTTGGGTTACACTTGAAACCCTGTAAGTAAAACAGTAGCAAAAAACAGTTGAAATAATTTGCATATGTGTTTTTTTTATGTATTCTCAGGCTTTTAATTAATAAAACGAATTAATCACAACAAAAAAGTGGTTCACTGTAATAGTTCCTTGCATTCACAACCTTCATTTATTAATACATTTTTTTCATAAAGGAACCTTTTAACAATTTGCTATGTGGTAGTTTCAATTCCCACTAAAGAGTCAGGTTATATATAAACACTAATCACTATTTATTTGAATAATACATTCAAAAGTGTGGGATCATTAAGGTATTATTTTTTTTTTTAATTAATACTTTTGTTCTCTTGTTGTGCACTTTCTGCACAAAAAATTTAAGCAGCACAACTGTTTTTAGCATTGATGATATGAAATGTTTAAGCAGCAAATCAGCATATTAGAATGATTTCTGAAGGATCATGTGACGCTGAAGACTGGAGTAATGATGCTGAAAAATCAGCTTTAGCATCACAGGAATAAATTACATTTTAAAATATATTAAAATTTAAAACTTTAAATTGTAATAATATTTTGCAATATTACTGTATTTTTAATTGTCTGTGTGTATGAATATGCATATGAAGAGTTTTTGCAAAAACTTAACTCCGTATTTATTTATTTTCATAAATCATTTATTGTGCTATCATGGTTTTGTGTTTTGTGTTAGTTAGCTGTAATTTTTTTAGTTAATATTATTTAATCAAAACAACCCAACTGCAGTTTGATATTAATTGGAATGCAGGATAAAAAAAACATGATTATTGAACATTTTTAAAAACAGAGTTATCTGTTTTTGCAAATGAACGCTTATATACTTGGCATCAAAATTATATTGAAACATTATTATTTGTATGTACACAGTTCAAGATAAGCTACGCTTTGATCCTGAAAGTGAGATCGCCACTACAGGACTGCGAGTGTCCCTCATCTGTCCTGTAAGTGTCTTGTTTTTGTCTTTAGCCGCTTTTCCACCGAAATTACCTGGAACAATATATCCCAGGAACTTTTTTCCCCCCAGACCTGTTGCTGTCTGCGTTTCCATCACGGTCTAAAGTACTGAGAAGATAAGGCAAATAGTCTGGTGACGTAGATCTGCGCGCCTTTCTCAATACTAAGTACGCAAATTTCAGACTTGCATCCTCGGTAGTTTGGACTTCGCGAGTTCGACTCAGGAGTGTGAACTCACGGGGACGGGACGATGCAAGTCCGGTAATTCTGCAAACAGCAGCTCGCCTTGGCTACTGCAATTTTCCTCACTGTATTTACAATAAGACAAAATATGATATCAAACACCACTGCCTCTTTTCGTTTTCATTTAAACATAATAATAGCCTCAGAAATGTACTTCAGGGAACGTCCATACATTACAATGAAACGAAATATTATATCAAACAGTATTGCCTCTTTTCATTTTCAATCCTACAATAATGTACAGTATTTGAAAAATAATGTGTTTTTTGAACATTAAAGCATGTCAACATATTCTGTTACACCAAATACACAAAATAATGATCTTTAAAAAAGCATCATATGACCCCTTTAATAGATTAGTAGAATAAAGACCAAAGATTACTTGTTAGATTTACCCAAAACGAATTATATCTTGTTTAACCACTACAGAGACATCAGAGCCAGCGGCAAATGTCAGAAGGACTAGCCGAGTTGAGGCTGCTCTCGTCGGGAAACTGGAGCACTGAGCGTCCGCTGATCGCGTGGAGCTCACGTCTCCGAAATCGGCGAAACATTTTCAAATAGGTGCTGTCTTTATAAATAAACTGGAAACACACCGAGTACCGGCCCAAAGTCCCTAGTTCCTGGGGAAAGATCCTGCGGTGGAAACGGGGCTTTTTATGTGGACTCTTAGCTGTGGAACCAGATATGGATCGAATAAGTGTCTTTTCAATGCAGTTGGTAAAGATGAGACTTGGAGTGCCATGTCGAGTGCTCACCTGCGCCCACCTGCAGTGTTTTGACGCTGTCTTCTTCCTGCAAATGAATGAAAAGAAACCCACATGGACCTGCCCCGTATGCGACAAACCTGCGCCCTTTGAGCTTCTAACTATTGATGGGTAGGCACAGTTACTCAGATTCCTTGTTTCTAACAGACTCTGGCAGTAAAACTCACCGAACGTGACTCATTTCAGGTTGCTGTCCGAGATCCTTAAAGAGACGCCAGAGGATGTGGAGGAGATCGAGTATTTGACTGATGGCTCATGGAGGCCAATCAGGGACGACAAAGAGAAGGAAAGAGAGCGGGAAAACAGCTGCACACCTGACTATCCTGTGGTGGATATATGTAAGAAGGTTTTCTTCCTTCTGAAATGTTACCCTGGACCACAAAACGTACAAAAAAACATAAATACATAAACTGAAAGTGGAATAAATAAGCTTTCCATTGATGTATGGTTTGTTAGGATAGGACAATATTTAGCCGATATACAACTATTTGAAAATCAAAATATTGAGAAAATCGCCTTTAAAGTTGTTCAAATTAAGTCCTTAGCAATGCATATTACTAATCAAAAAGTAAGTTTTGAGATATATATGGTAGGAAATGTACAAAATATCTTCATGGAACATGATCTTTACTTAATATCCTAATGATTTTTGGCATAAAAGAAAAATCGATAATTTTGACCCATGCAATGTATTTTTGGCTATTGCTACAAATATAGCCGTGCTACTTATGACTGGTTTTGTGGTCCAGGGTCACAAATGACATTTCAACACATTTAGCTTGCATAATATTGCATATTTTTAAGTATTTAATGGGAAATAACGGGCCTTAACTTTCATCCAAGGTGTTCCTGAGGCGAACGGCCACTCCCCAGCACACAGCGGCACAAACCAGACCGGCAAGCCTGGATCAGGTGGTGCGTCGGCAGGAACCGGCGGCACCAGTACCGGGTCGGGAGGCGGAGTCGTGGTGGATCTGACTCTGGACGACTCGTCAGACGAAGAAGGAGGGGGCGGAGCTGAGGACAGCGAGGACACGGACGACAGCCAGGACAGCCCCGCCCCTAAACGGGGCAGATATGATTATGACAAAGACCTGGTCACCGCATACTGAGGCCAGCAGGACACTAAGACTTGTTGGGGGGAGTGGGTTGTAGATGGGATCTGAGCCTTGGAAAGTCAAGAAACGTGTCCCCATGTCTTCTCCCAAACGCATACACACTCATGCATGCACACAGACATGCACACTCATGCGCTGCTGACCTCTGGAGCAGTCGGGCATCACATTGACAAACTCGTAGATGCCCCGTAAAGCCATTCCCAATCATTCACTGCATCTCAATACTGTATTCTCCCTTTAAAGACCATGGAAGAGTAACACCACCTTCAGTTCTACTCTATCGTCCTCGACTTCCTCTCCACTTTGTGTTCTGACAGGTTTAACCATCCTGGGCATTTAAGATCTTGCCAGTTTTAGTTTTATGCAGAGCTGTTCAGGCCTTCAAAACATTGTGAGACAAGCCACAGTATCTCAAAAACCTTCATTCCTTCGGGTTGAGATCATCCAACCTTTTGAAACCTATTTAGAGGCGTTTTCTGTTAGTCCTCTACATAGGATGTTTATGTTAGGTGTTCGTTTTAATGTGATTTGGAGACATTACTGATGAATTTCCATCCCTCTCATTTTTTTATTTTATTTTTTTTATTTGTCCACAGAAGTTGACAAGCTACCTCAAGTCTAACAGCGAACTTGACCAGAGGGTTTTTTTTTTTTGTAGTTTTGTTTTCAATCCCTTTTGTTTTTCATGTGCAGCAACACTGGAGAGGCATCATGCATTGCTCATTATTTTGTGCTTGCCCATTTAGGCATCATATTAAAAACGATTCTGACTCGAGCAAAGAGTTTCCGGTCAAGTCTGTCGGTCAACTAGTGTGTACTGACTGAATGTAGTATGCTAATCGACACTCGGTTCAGAAAGAATGACATTTCAACATCAACGGTCCTTTTGCGATGCTTGTCAGCGAGTAAATACTGTACGATTGCTAATGTAATGTATTATTTCTGATAATTTCATAGAAAATTGCAGGTCTCAATGCTCTCAAATTTATTGCTTTCTTTCAGTCGTTTTGGTCTGTACTAGGCTGCTGAAGTCATGACTTCACAAAGGCAGAGCAATAAATCAGTTGGAAGAGAGGACAAAGAGTTGTTTTAGGTTTCTTTTAGACATGACTGTAGTAAATTAGGTTTATTTAGCAGGGGAGCTGCCGTTATTGGCAATATACCTGAAATTTATTTGCCTAAACTTAAAACCAGATTTTTCTTCACTTTACAATTTTCTTTTTTTTTTTTTCAGTTTAGATTAATGGCTGATTTGTTTGAGCCCATTGTGTGGAGGATGTTTGTGTTCATTTCAGCCGGTTGAAGAGGTGCTGACATTTGCATATTGTTTTGTGGACTTCACAACAGGTGCCGATATTACATGCTCTTTAATTTGTCGCCAGAACGTGTATTTATTGATTTAACAGTTTTTGCCTCTTTTATTTAAATTAAGTTTGGTATTTTTCTGCTTTTTATGAGGCATTTCACAGCAATTTCATGAGTTTCCAGCATGTTGCTTTGTGATGGTAGATAACGCTGTGTCTTCTCACGGCCTGCTGTTGTATGCGCACATTCAGCCATTTGCAACAGTCCGAACATAAGGGGGCTTAGTCAGGACAATGCAGACTTGACCTAAACCTCGGAAGAATTAAACTCCCGCTAAACGACCAAACACAAATGGCACATCCAGACAGCTGATCTGTTGAGGAGGACTCAGGGATGACGTGTTCTACTTGTCTTTACATTTTCTTCTCAGTCAAACTTGACACTCGAACCAGGTTCCAGCATCGTGTACACAATATTACCTTCACCATCAGGTCGCGTAGGGCAGTCTAGGTTTCTGATCTGGAAATTAAGATGTATATCTGTGTGTATAGCTTATTTTGTTGTCCTCCAAGGTTTCAGAGAAAATCACTACTAAGCTCACTAGTGGTAAATTTAAAGTTTTTTTTTTTCTTCCTTTTTTCAACTAATCCTGAATTCTGACTTGAATACTCAGTACTGTATCCTATCTGTGGTTGGGAATTTCTTAAAATAAGAATACTGCCATGAAGGGTTAAATTACTTGTAATTTTAGGTTCGTCTTTGAGTCGGCATGGTCTTCCATCTTCTCTTCATGATAGCCCAATTTTTTCCCCTTTTCTTTATAATTTTAAAGAGTAAACAGTGCTGCAGTTGACAGTTTCACATAATAAGCTCTTAATGTAGTATGTTCCTCTAAATTTGGCCACACTTTTGTGATTTTTTCACATTTAAGGTAAGGAACTTCTATAGACTTCCATCTTTAGATACCTAGAACGATCTATTAGATGTAGATAAAATGTACATTTGCTTACAATGAAAATATAAATGGATGGTGATTGATGACAATATATTTCCAGCTCAGAGGTGAAGACGGCCTCTATGTAGCCAGGTGAGGTTGAAGTGGGTTTTTTTGGGGGGAATGGAGGCATCCCCTCCTATTACAGTGCTTAAGACAGCATGGGCAGTGGCTTGCAGTTCTTGATGTAAATGTTTTGTTTGTGTCTTTTATATGTTCATATTAAAAGCCAATAAAAAATAATAATATTTTATCAAGTTTTGAATTGCCTCCAGTTGCTCCAGTGGGCGGGCACAAATACATTGTTATTGGCTACTCAACGCTTCCTGAGGAAAATGTAAATTAGTGACCTAACGTGGGATTTGACGAATCGGAGCGAATCAGTTGTCCCTGTCTGAACTGAAATCGAACTGTAAAAGCTCTAACACCTGTTAATTATGTGTGCAATTAATTAAACTGATTTAAAATAAATGTCTTTCCAGTGATTTTTAAATCTTGGATTTAACTCCACTGATTACTTAAAGAATATATTAAACACGTATTCCTTAGAAATGTACAATAACATTTTTTTCCAGGACACCATAATTACTAGTTAATTTTACTACAGTAAAACTGGTTACAAGTACATAAAAAGTATTGATGATTTGTTTACTTTGATACCACATTAGTCCACTGAGGTATTTGCGTGGGGCAAAAAAACAAACAGTTTTGCTACTTTTTGTTAAAGATGGTAAAGGATTATCACTAAGTTACCTTTTCTCATATGTATATTTTTCTGTAACGTTATTATGGTATCTTGTCAAGTTATTTGTCAACTGCACAGCTTACCAGGGTTTACTGACAAAGCTCAGACTGCAGAAGATTAATAGTACGTATCGTATAACAATAAATATGTATTGAAATAATTCAGAAAATTGTATTCTTACGTTTTTTGGGCGGCAACTTTCCTTGTGGCAAGCCTTTAAATGTGACAGTTACTTAGTTCACCACTAGATGTCGTTCTTATTCAAATCATCACTCATCCTTTTGTTAAAGCTCGCGATAACTCGAGCATTCTGACGATAGTTCTCGCGAGAGCTTGTGAACGCTTCCTCTTGGTTGGATAGCGGCTTCCTGGCCGTACTTTTTTTCCCCCTCCTTTTTTTTCTTGGGGGAAATTTCAACTTCTGTTTTCGCGGATCCTCCGGGCCAAACAATTTCGGACAGCATTTCGCGGTCGGTCCTGTGGCTGCGAACGACAGGCCTGACTTGTCTTTTGCCGCCTTTTGTCTGTGGGAGCGCTCTCGAGTCAGAGGCCGTCTCGAAGAGACATTCCAGCGATGAACGCGCTGAAATAAACTGCATTTCTTGCACTTTTGCGCCTATGGCACTCGCTCTTTCCACTTGACACCTAAATATTATTTGGTACAGCTTCTGGAGGCATGACAGGGTGTTGAAATTAGGGGCTTACGAATCTCAGAAACTTCTATAGACACAACTGCAAGGGTTTGTGTCAGCAGAGACAACCTGGTTGTTCTCTTTGAAATAGATAACAGGCAACTATGGCACCAAAAAGAAGACCGGTCCCCTTGATTATAACCCCCACAGGAGAAGGACAGTCAACCAACATAGATGCAGCATCAGAGTAAGTAACGTTATATAGTTTGCTATATCTGACACTTTTTGGTTTACTTTCCTGCATACTTAAGTATGTCTCACCTGGTCCTGTTTTTCCTGTCTTCAGGGCCAACCTGGAGGCCTTGCAGAGGAAGTTAGGGGAGCTGGACTTGGATGAACAGCAGAGGAAGCGGCTTGAGGCTTTCCTCACCCAGAAAGCCCAAGTGGGCGAGCTCAAAGATGAGGATTTTTACCCCATATGTGAACTTGGCGCAGGTAACGGTGGGGTGGTCCACAAAGTCCGTCACAAACCCTCAAGACTGGTCATGGCCAGGAAGGTAAGCGATCGACAGACTTATGCACCTGCTGCTGGCCTGCTTACAGTGTGTTCAAAGGCTGAACGTTCTGTATTTTCTACAGCTTATTCATTTGGAAATCAAACCAGCCATCAGGAACCAGATCATACGAGAGCTGCAGGTCCTACACGAGTGTAATTCGCCGTACATTGTAGGTTTTTACGGCGCCTTTTACAGCGATGGAGAAATCAGCATCTGTATGGAGCACATGGTGGGACCAATGTTGTTGTTTAATGCTTATAAGCATGAGTTCATAGCAGAAGTGTTACAGCACACTGACATGTATTTGTCCGCAGGATGGAGGTTCTTTGGATCAAGTGCTGAAGGAAGCCAGGAGAATCCCTGAAGAAATTTTGGGCAAAGTTAGCATAGCCGTAAGTATTACCAGTCTCCTCTGCTGTATCTGTGTCAAATAATGCTGTTTAGTTATTGATGACAAATGAACCATATTGACACATCAGTGATTAGTTGGTTAGCAAGGTCGACTAGTTTATCTAGATTTTTTTAAAAGCCTAACTGATCTTAGGTGTACTTTAATTGTATTAAATGTAAGGGCACTACTTGTTGAGGGTTGTAATGTGTTTACACTCAAACTCTGTTTTTGGCAGATACCTTTGTTCAAAGTGTGGTTGAGGTGTGCATTTTATCATTAGATAATGTTCTCCAAATTTGCGGCTTTTAACAAAATTACTGGTACAATTGCTGTTCAAATCAAATCTAATGTGAAGAATATTCTTATGCATGATCCTTAAGTCTTTGTTTTGTACAGATATAATTTTGAACTTATGTATTTGTTGAATATTTGTTAGTAACTCTGTATGACCCTTCACCAATTTTACTATAAAGGGATTTCATAAGACCAACTAGTCATTCACACTAGTTTGTTTAAAACTATCTCTAATACTATTACCCAGCCCTGTTGACTCTAATTGTTAGATCTCTAAGGTAGAATAGTTTTTTTTATGACAGAAAAAAATTATTTCTGCCATATTATTTTTTTTCTGTCAGTTTATATTAGATATATTGCAAGATTTTGGATATTTAATTGTGCATGTTTTTTCCCCATATTTTCTTAGCCATCTTTTACTGCTCATTAAGAGTGAATTATTAAAAAATGTTGTGATGTCTAAATCCAGTTTTAGCATTTAAAAAGATTTTTAGTTTATAGTGCTTTATTTTTGTCTCACTTAGACAAATAGGATTGTATTTTAATACCGTCCATTTCTTGGTTATCAGCCATAACATGGAAATAACTACCATCTTATCAGTATCAGGGAGAATTTTAATATTGGCGCGTCCCTAGAATATAGTTTAACTCTACCAACTTCTTGTTTTTTGGTGTCTGGTTAATTACAATAATTGTTTATAATTTTTGTAATACTTAATGTAAAGAAATTGTGCATGTACATGGGAAATGCACATGTAAAAAGATTAGGTTATTGTGAAACAGCTGTAGGAATGAAAAGAGAGCAACCTGCTTTTCTTCTTGTCTAAAAGCAGAATCCAAAACCAATGGTACATAACCTCCATCGTAACATGTCTGGCACTAGTACGCACAAACCGCAATTTAATAAAGCTGTGACCACGCCCACAGATGTGCAAACTCTCTTTCAAGTCAGAGTTACCAAAACATGCACGTTTTTCAACACACATTTAGACTTATTCTTCCAAATTAATAGGGTTAAACTTCTGTTTCACATTTGATCATGACAAAACACAAACACTTTAACACGAAGTCCAAACAAAGGTGCAGCGATCTGTTTATGTGTGTCTATACTGTTTATTGTACGTGTGAGCGAATGCATCTCAGCTTTCAGTAATCACAAAGCAGAAGTTGTTTTGTAAAGACTAGAATATGTAACACGTTCTGTAAATTCAGGAAGCTAGATACCACATTGACCGTTGAGAGATAAACCCTGTTGATGACATCTATAACTCTCTTTCCACAGGTACTCAGAGGTCTGGTATATCTTCGGGAGAAACACCAAATAATGCACAGAGGTACACACAGAGCAACATTCCTTACTAATATCTTAGAAAACGTACATGTGCATACACGCGCTGGATGGCAGCAGGAAGTAGCCCCCTAATGCAGCTATTGAAATTGCATAAGAAGCTTAAAAGTGATTATTATAGAGAGATTAGGCCTCACTTTTTCAAAGGTATTTACTGAAACTCTAACCAGAGACCTTCATACAACTGCAAACCTGAGATTAAATGGAGCAAAGATATTGCAAAAGTTGATATTATTCCAATGCTAAATGTCAATCTTCTACAATTAAACGTTTTAAAACAAACACTACATTGGCATTTTTAGATCACAAGTTGTAAATCACAAGTTACCATAGAAATAGCTTCAGTGTCTCCAAGTGTGGCACAACCAACATTTGAACATTAATACTATGTCTGAAGATGCAAAGTATCAGTTTCTCTGTCAGGTTGTATGAGGATCTGAAGGAGCCACACTGGGTTTGAAGGGTTAGACAGGGAGGGTCGGGCCTGTAGTTGTGCTGTTGTGGCAGGGAGCACTCGCCTGCTTGCGAGGAGCTGTCGAGGAGCCCAGCCGGTAATTGCAGCCTCTCGGATGTGATTACATGGCAGCCGCACCCTGCAATCCCCTCCCTTCTTTTTCCTCTCCCACTCTCACCCCTCTGTCCACTCCCAGTGGGTGTTCGGGCTGAAGGAGGGCCCGTCATGTGTGGAATCGTTGCATGTCTGCACTGTTATTTGCTCCTCTTGCCCTGTGTTTAAGAGGAGGGAGGTGGAAAGTGGCTTGCATGTCTGTCCTTTCTGCTACAACGGTGTTGTCGGAGCTAGCTTTGCAGTATGCAGAGCATCTTGTGAAATGTTTTTGCTGGGCGTGCTGGAGAAAGGGCATTTGAACGGGGATGGAAAGCCAGGTGGTGCCACTGGGATTTGGACCCCGGCACTCCATCTTACATGGTCTCTCTCTCTGGTCCCTACAGACGTTAAGCCCTCCAACATCCTGGTGAACTCGCGTGGCGAGATCAAACTGTGCGACTTTGGCGTGAGTGGCCAGCTCATCGACTCCATGGCCAACTCCTTCGTTGGAACACGGTCGTACATGTCGGTGAGTCACCCGCCCACTTCCCTCCCCAACCCCCAGTCCTTCTCGTTCCAAGCCCTGTGCCGGTGCCCAGGATTCTTCCATGTGGAGAGGAGGAAGTCGCTGCCAGGTTTTAGCCCACTCCTCTTGGCCACCTGCAGGGTGTGGCGCCCCACCCATGTAGAGCTTTGACTTGCTCTCTGCTCTCTGCCTTGACAGCCGGAGAGACTCCAGGGCACACACTATTCAGTTCAGTCGGATGTGTGGAGCATGGG